GTGCCAATCACCTCACTGCCTTGCTAATTAGAACCTAAAAGGTTGTTCACCAATACACTCTTGTAGTGAGTAACTAATGGATGAAGGAAATAATTAATTGGATTAATTAAGTGTTTTGATTAATTTAGAAAGTCTAAAGAAATCATAAAAGCGATAAAGATCGTTTTGGGCTTAAAGAAACGTTCGGGTTTAATTGGGCCCATTGGGCTTTTATTCAAGCATTGGATGACTTGAAATAATTAAAAGCCCAAAGCCCAAACCAAACATCAAAGGCCGGCCAAAGAGAAGGGAGAGAGTGGGTCAATTGTTGACTTGTTTCTTTATGTAATAAAAGGAACATTATGATGAAACATGAGTTAGGGTGTTAGGTGGTTCATAATACACAAAAGAAAAGGAAAATCTCTCTCTCTCCAACCTCAAAGGCCGGCCACCAAAAGGAAATTTTAGCTAATCATCTTATCACCCTTTGGTTAATTCCTTCATCTTTCTCATTACAAAGTGGGTGAGGATCTTTAGAGGTTTTCATATCTTTGGAAACTTGAAGAGGACCTAGGAGCACTCATTCTCAACAAAGTGGAGGAGGCAAGGAGGGAGGCTAGGCTCAAGGAGTTCAAGGAGCAAAGAGCTTGGAGGTGCTCAATCCTTGGTCTTAGATCTAGATCAAGAGGTATAAAACTACTCCTAAACTTTGTTCTTCAATAAATTGTTTTTGATGCATCATATATAAACCTATGCATCTTGAAGGGGATTTGCATGACTATAGCTTTGATAAAATGTATGACATGCTTCCGTTGCTTTCGTATATAAATTTTAAATTGTATATGCATGATAGTCACTAGAAATCCCACATAAATCTCATATTTTCCCTTCACCGGCCACATAGTAGCTCTCTATAGGGCGTATGGTCATAGTATACAGACCACTCGAGATATGTTTCATCTTCTCTATAATACGCTTTTAGCCATATTCGTAGGAAGTGATGCACATGAATTAAACTTCATTTTCTACATAGGTTTCATCATTGTAATTATTGTCTTTAATGCCCTTGAAACTCAACAACGTTCTTCCAGAATGTGGAGAATAGAGTGTCTCATCAATGATTAAAATTGTACCATTGGACAACATTATACTTGCCATACCATTTCCTTCGATTAGGTTGGATGGTCCCGAGAGGGTTGTCAAAGGTGTATTTTTAGGTATAAAGTTAGCGAAATAAATGTGTTCACGCAAAATGGTGTGCGTGGTTGCACTATCTACCAACAACTAAATTTCCTACTAGTCATACCTAGAAATAAAAATTAATTTGAATTGGTCACATGCATAAAAGTTCTAAAAACAAATATCCATTCAAAATAATTTAAGTATTCAAGGCTGTTAATTAAAAAATTTAATATCCAAAAACAAATCACCCACAAATAATCCAAATATAAAGGAAATTGCTAAAAAATTAAACCAAAAAAACAAGGGGGGTCAGCCACTAGTGGAATTCGGCCCCATTGTTCCAAATAACAACTAAAAATAGTTCATGTTTAAGATTCTAATATTCCATAAGGGCAATATCCTCCTGAAAGTTAGAAACCTCAATCTTGGTACTCTTCGGTTCATTCACTTGCACAAAGTTTGATTTAAACTTCTTATGACGAGAATGATATTCAGTTACAACCTTCTAGGGAGCACGGCAAACATGGGACCAATGGTCCATTGAACCATAGCAGTAACATATATCCGCAACCATGGTTTCAAGTGCTTTGCCCTTATTCTTGAAGTTTGGGGCCTTAGGAGTAGGGTTAGGGAGTTTTTGGGCTCGGTTTCCCCCCTTAGGTGGGCCTTGGCTCTGTTGACCTTGACGGGGTGGCTTTTGGGCACCCCTACCATGCGTATGTTGGAATTTTAGGCATTGATTCATGCTATAGTGTGCTTCAGGCACATCAGTCGTCCCAGTAGGTCAAGCTTTATGGTTTTTCATCAACAGTTGATTATGTTTTTTAGTGAGAAGTAAATTAGAGATCAAATCCGAAAACTTGGTGAACTTCTAAGCCCTATATTATTGCTGCAGGATAATATTAGTGACAAAGAAGGTTGAATAGGTCTTCTTTAGGAGATCCTCTTAGGCCAAGTTCTCGTTGCAAAACTTGAGAAGTGATCGGATTTGACAAACTTCAGAATTATATTTATTCACAGACTTAAAGTCTTGGACGTGCAAATTCTACCAGTCATGTCTTACTTCAAGCAAGAAGATGTCCTTTTGATGATCAAAACAATCAGCCAAAGCGACCCAAAGTGCTCATGAATATTCCTCAGCAAGGTACTCGGTTTGCAGTGCGTCATGAATTTGTCTTCGGATGAAGATCATGGCAATGGTTTTCTCAGTTTCGCTAACCTGGTTGTCTGTCTCATCTTTAATGGCGGGACACAAATTCTTTGTAGTTAGGTGGAGCTTCACATCTTGGACCCACTTGAGGTAGTTCTTTCCAAAGACCTCTAAAGCAGTGAAGTCGAGTTTGTTCGAATTCGACATGTCCCTATCAAAAAATAAATGGACAAGAATGTGGTTAGTACAATGGAATAAAAAAATCAATCCATTCACATAGGAGTAGAACATTCAGGTTCCAATAGACATGTATTGGTTTAAATTTACATGAAAAAACTTAGGGTTTTCATGGATGATGTTTTTAAGGAAAACTTCAAGTTTTCAAATAAGGCATGTTTCTAGAAACTTCAGGTTTCGAAAAATAATTATGAACTTCAGGTTCACATGTTCATGCAAACAAACACATATACATACACATTATTATGCAACAAGAGAATATGCAAATAGAACTCCTAGTCTAGAATTATAATTAAATTAATTATTTGGACTTCGGGCCAAATTCAAAGTGTGGGTGAAAAAAAATTATAAAACTCATAAGGCCTAGAAAAGAGGCATTTCAACTCGGGGCCAAAAATAATGGACCAAAGCCCATGGGCGGGCTAAAAAAATGGGTGCCGTGGTCCAGTCCCAAAAACTAGGTTGGGGTAGACACAGACCTTGCATGAAAGCAAGCCTAGGCGTCACAAAGAAGTGGGCTACGAGTTCAAGCCCAAAATAGGGCTGGGATCCTGTGCAATGCTGACATGGGGGGACACCAAAGCCCAATTGGGCTGGTGTTATTCACGAGCCAGGTTTTGAGCAAAAAGCCCATATGCACAAAAGTGGGTTACAGTTATAGGCCCAGATGGCATGGCCCATAATGAGGGCGCCAATCTTATGCAACATATACACGGATTTACCAGCAACAGCAGTAGCTGAGATCCAGTGCGGTGGGAACACTGTGGTCAACAGGTTGTTGTTGGGCCGAGATGAGCGCCATAGCCCAAAGGGCTAGAGCTTTGCCGAGAGACAAGCCAAGCCCAAGTAGGCTTATCTAAACACCCTATCGCAAGCTGGGTGAACTCGCCAAAAAAGAAGATCGGTGCCACCACTTCAAGCGGTCGTGTCATGGTGCAAAAATCAAGGCGAAGGTTGTGGGTTCAACAACAACCCATAAGTTTGAACAGAGAGTGAAAAACTCTCGAAGTTGTATAACTTTAGAAATTTTCGATTTGAATTTCAAAGAAAAACATCGAATTTCAAGCAAGGACTCGTTGGTGACGACTTCAGGTCGTCGATGAGGTAATTGTGGTGGCTAGGCATGGCTGCAAGCCATGCTACTCGAAGGTTCAAGGGAGAAGACGCCATTTAGGGGTCATGTTTAAGGTTTGGGCCTGGAGCCGTGGCTCCAAGTACGAGTTTCTCAGCTCGGGAAAAGAAATATGACCCATATGACATGGTTGGGTTTCAACAAAACCTTAAAAAAATACTTTGTAATTTTTTTCAATTCCAAATTATAAAGTTAATGAAATTTCATGCATATTTAACATTTAATTCAATGCATGAGCAGATATATGATGCAATTCATGGTAATATCAATTCACATAATTCAATAATTATGAATATAATGCATACACAATCTATGTAGAATCTAAAATTCTAAAAAAGGTAAAGTTGGATCATGCATTATGGTAAATGTTCATTCTATTAGGGTTGCAAAAATATCGAGATAAAAATAGTTGTTTTGAAAGAACCTAATTGCGTGATGATATTGATGAACTGGTTTGATGCAGAAAAACTTCCACGTCAGATTTCTAAGCGCAGCGGTAGGGAAGAATTGATAACTTGTTGTGATCTATTTTATCTAACAGGAAGAAAGAGGGCCAGCAACACAGAGAGAAAATGAGAGAGATATGTTTGTAAGGTTGTGTAGAGAATGTGTTATTCTTCCTACGCAGTGCCTTTATTTATAGTAATAAGGGAGGGGAAAAAATCCTTTTCCTCCAAGGAATACAAGTTCCAATAGGGAAAAATAACTAGAATCAATTCTAATATAAGATTTACTCAATGACACTTAAATAAGAAGTTTATAACATCAATTTAATAAATGATGGACCAAAATGATTTGACAATCAATCGATGGTAATTTTGTCATTTTCTCCTTATTGTAAGGAGTTTTCACGGATATACTAAAATGATTGATACTAAACAAACTCAGGACCACTTCCATCAATTTTAAAATAAGGGCCAAAGTGAAGACATATGCCAATATTAGGAACCATTTTGGTAAAAAAGCCAAAATTTTATACATTCTGGTTTGGTATTGCTGTGCTTTGAAAAAAAAAACTGCTTCTGCTGTGCTGTGAGAATAAGCTTATTTTTGTTGTTTCACGTTTTCAACTTTTTTTCACCTAAAATTGTGAAAATAAGCTGTTTTTAAATATTTTCTAAACACTTTTTGAGCTCAGCCTATTTTAATACCCATTTTTTATACACGTACATTAATACCAAAACAGTACTAAACATATCATATACTAGCGTTTGCAAGGAAAAACTGAAATTTTGGGCCGGGCTGATCATGAATGGGCTGGACCAAATCATGATTAGGTGGTTCTATCCAATGACATTTCCCGCCACAGAAAAAGAAAAGGAAAAGTCGTTTGCCTCCCATCCCAACCACCACCATTTCTATCCAAATCCCTACTCAACTGCTTCTCCGCTCAGCTCCCTAGGGTTTCTCAGAGCCAGACATGGCCCTAATCTCCTCCTCGCAAACCCTAACCCTAAGATCCACTTCTCCAACCCTCTCTCATCCTTCTCATCCATCTCACTTCGCTATTTCCCAATCACCACCTAGCAATCATCACTCTCTCTCCCTCTTCTACTCCCCGAAATCAACGACACAGTTTAGCGCTAGACGACTTGTCGTTCCTAGAGCCTCCTCAAACGAGAGCATCGCCGTGGATTTCAACCCCAGTATCGGTGAGATCCTCGGCGACGTTAGCATTTTCACCGCCGCTGGTGATTCCGTCCAGTTCAAAGACCTCTTGGTTCCGAACGAGGTCACTTTTCTACTTTTACCCTCTCAAATCTCTCTAATTTTTCTTAAATTATTGACTGGATTTGTTTTTGTGATTTTAATTTCTTCTGGAGTAACCTTTTTCTGTTAATTTGATTGGAAAATGTTTTTACATGCGTTTAGCAATGAAATTATAAAGATACTTGCTATAATAATGTGCAGAAATTATGAAAATTTTGGATTTTTTCTTGATTTGATGTGGTTTATTATTTTTGAAAGTGTTGCTTATTTATTTTGTTTCAGGGGGTGGCTGTTGTTGCACTATTGAGGCACTTCGGATGCGTTTGCTGGTAATTAGTCTTCTTAACCATATTTGTAATTTGGGGCTTTTTTTTTTCAAGTTGCTGGATGTTCTCTAGATTTGTTACCTTTATATGTGCTTGTTTTTTTGAAGTTGGGAACTTGCTGCATCTTTGAAAGAAAATAAAGCTAGATTCGACTCAGCTGGTGTGAAACTAATTGCAGTCGGTGTTGGTACTCCCGATAAAGCTCGTATCCTTGCTGAACGGGTATCTTTAATTTCCTCCTTGTGTCACCACAGCGTTTCTTCAGCTGCTTTTTTTAAAGCTGTGTTTGATGCTGTAATTTTTTACGGTTATATCTGCATTTAATGAGTATCACAATCGGATATGGCATGACAAGAATGGGTATGCGTGAAACAGCAATATGGTTTTATTTGATATGTGTCACGTATGCATCCACATACATCCCATATACATGCTGGATCAAGGAATGAGATGCTAAGTTTTTTAGCAAATGGTTGCGATCCTTATATCTGATACATAACATCTATATGAGTGGTGAACCTAATGTTACGTTAAGCATGTTAGTTTTCTGATCATCAAAAGAAAGCCACTTGACATGAATATCTGTTCGGGGTCGTGTTCCTGGGTCACAGATACAGGCACCTATTTTTTAACATTTGTAACCGTCATGTGTATCTAACAGTTTTAAGTGTATTGGACATTACCATTTATCTAACAGTTGAAGGGTACATAATATTTTCTGGGAACAGTATTTACCTGTGCAAGGTTCCTGTAACATCTCTTTGTAGTACTCATCAGAAGAACTAGTTTATCTGTTTATCAAGCAGATGTCTTTGTTGAGCGTTTATTCACCCATTGCAACAGTCCTTTGACACTTATTGCCCTTAAGAAACTCAAACTAGTCCCTTTTGTTATGTGATTTTGAATAAGTGGGTGAAGGGTGAAGAGAGAGGTTAGTGAGATAATGGTTGGAGGAAAATAAGAATAAGGGAGACAGAGTTTTATGTGTAGGGTGATGACAGGAAACATAATTTGTACACTGTGCGGTTAATGTTGGTGCGTACACAAATATAATTCGTACAGTGTAGTTAATGTTGGCTTGTGTGTGTGATATGCATCTTCAACTCTTAAATGTGGAAGGATCTAAAGTTCCTCATCTGGAGTTTGAAGGTGTGTTTAAAAGTGTGTGGTTTTATGGCTCCTGAATAGGGCCCTTTTATTATATTAACCGGTTCAGAAAAGTAGAAAAAGTAAGAAAGCCTATGAGCCTTCAATGACTCTAAGCTGTATTGAGATGTGTAGAATTGAGACCCTTCTTGTACCTGTTTCCTTGACTTTCTTGATCAGAAGCATGCAATCACATATGGCTAGCTACTATCATGTCATCTGTCGTGTTTATTTAAGAAACAGTTCAGTTGATGAAACATTGACATGATTGATTAATTTGATCACTTGATTTCTTCATATGCTCAAAATGTTCCAAAATTTTAGGAACCTTTTGACAAAATGAAACAAACATCATTTGGTGAAGTCTCATTCAATCATGCTATCATAGAACGGAACCTAGTTTGTTTAAATAAGCATGTCACGTGACATGATAGTGGTTGATCATACTTGTTTATATGCTTTCCATTTGGAGAAAGCTATTTACACCTACTTTGACCTTAATGTCATTACTTAGTTTGCTTAGGTTCATGTTGAGGATGCCAGACTTTGGCATCAGTAATTGGTCTGCCATAGCAGGATACTGGACTTTGGCATAAGTAGTAGGTCTGAAGTTTCTACGTCACATGTTTAGAGAGACTTGGACTCAGATTATAGAAGAATGTGTAATCATCTCTTCTCAAACTATGTTCAAGGCATCATAGCATTTGAATAAGCTTACACAACATAAATCCTGTAATTCTCCTTAAATGTTTAAACCAATTATTGCGATTTCTTAATTTAATATGTGCATACTGATGCCATGGACTTTATATCTTGATCTCTGGGCTGATTCTTTTCCCCATGATGTCCTATCTTCAGTTACCATTTCCAATGGATAGCCTTTATGCTGATCCTGATCGCAAGGTAATAAATTTTGTAGTTTTTTCTGTCTTCTCAAGGTTCTATATGTACTTTGTCTTGATCGCAAGGTATTTCATTTTATAATGTGCTAAATTATGTATGTTTAACTGGTGAATCTCTTATTCTGGTGAATGTCTCTGACTCAACACTTCGGTTATAGGCATACGATGTTTTGGGATTATACTATGGACTTGGACGAACCTTCTTCAATCCAGCTAGTGTATGTTCGTTTCCTGCTTTCTGCTTGTTATCTTCAATCCAGCTAGTAATTTTTATGATATTTGTGTATTTTTGGAAAACTATGATACGGCAGGCAAAGGTATTTTCAAGATTTGAGGCTTTTCAGAAAGCTTTGAAGAATTATACCATTGAAGCCACTCCAGAGGACAGAAGTAGTGTGTTACAACAGGTTTAAGCTTTTGATCAATTCTATATAATATCTTATTAGGAGTTATATTAAGCAGATAACCTGGTTAACGTGGTCGTTGATTCAACCCACCCTTAATTTTTTGTAACAGATGTTTTACTTTTCTTATTTTCAATATAAATCAGGGAGGGATGTTTGTCTTCAAAGGTAAGCAATTGTTGTATGGTCGGAAAGACGAAGGGACAGGTGATCATGCCCCTTTAGATGATATCTTCGATGTTTGCTCCAAAGTTCCCGTCTCATAGATCCAGTGGAGTCTCCATACGAAATGCAGAGACTCATTCATATTTCATGTCTCAGAGTAATCAGACCATCGGACAGTCCGCCTGTTCGACTGTGCCTGTCTTAACGTTTGTATAGTTAAAATTAAAATGTATGCTGATAGATTGCATTTATCTGGCTGTAGTATATAGATTACCATACAGAATGGAGTTCGTTATAGTATGTAAGGCCCGTGTTTGCTTAGTTCAATAAGAAGTGGCCATGTGCTACGTTGTCTTGCCAAAACATTCAAGTCAAGCAGCACGCTACTTTTCCCTCTTCACAAAAGCAATTTTTCACCTTGATCTTCATACAAACAAAATTAAAAACGGGTCACATTTTTCTTCTTTTTTATGCATTTGGATATGATTTCTTGTTCATCTATTTATTTGGCTTTGTTAAATTTATATTTATTAGCCAAAAATAAATATATTTTGAGACACTTAATATATACTTTATGGGGAAAAAAAAATTACTATGAATGAGGGAGTGAATTATGAGGTGTAATGGTGTATCACTGTATGTGTGTTGGCAATAAGATTGAACATTTAAGGTTTGTATGGAACTGCTAAAATAGAGAATAATTCTCAACACGTAGGAGTTTATTTAAAAATCTTATGAAAAACACGCACACACGCACATAGAAAGTGCTTCTAATGTTCGGAAGTGCTTTTATGTGTTTCTATGAAGAAAGTTAAACATGACTAGAAGCACATTCAAGAAAACATAAAATCACTCCGGGACATGTCTAGAAGTGCTTTTAAAATTTGTACAACAACTCAAACTTTTGGACTTTGATCAAAGTACCCCATTTATTGGTTTTTTTTATTTTTTTTATTTTTTTTACACAATAGTCTATTCAATATTCATAATAATTTGGTTCGAATTGATATTTGAAGAGAATCGAGCTTAAGATCATTTACTTATGAATGTAGAAAATTACCTTTAGATTCTAATACTAACTACCAATAACAAAATAAAATTAATTTTTTTTGCTTATAAACAAAATTAATCTTTAATACGAGAGAAAAAAGATCAAACGGTGAGCGCAAAGATGGAAGAAAAGGGCAGGAAGATTGGTTGAGTCGAGCAGAAAGGGAAACAAAAATAAAAAATTGCCTCATTAGGGATCTGGAGCCGTCCGATATTTTGAACGGTGAATCTTGTGTGTGTACGGACGGGTAAGAAACCTAATCCTATCAAAACTCTGTTTGTTAGTTAATTTATTTACATTATGATTTCTAATACCTGAAGGAGAAGGAGTACTCTCTAGGTACTTAAGGTAAACTCTCCTGTTCCTCGTTCGGATCACTTGTAATATTTTTTGAGAACCTGCAAGTGTGTTTTCTAGGTTTTGGTTGCCATGGAAGCTCAGCCCGGAAGGTTGTACGTGGCTAACTTACCGAACGAGTTTACTGAAACTACCATGAAAGAATACTTCAGCAAGTATGGTGAAGTAAAGGACTGTGTGATTATTGTAGACAAAGTTACTCGTAAACCTAGAGGATTCGGCTTTGTTTCCTTCACTCACCCATCGGTGGCTGAACAAGTCATGGGAGAAGAGCACATCATCCTCGGTAGAAAGGTATGTTTCTATCTATACTTTCTAAATTTGTACCAACATAGGTGTTATGATTTACGTTCAACCATGACGCTGCATCCTCAATCCATGAAGAAAAACCTTCCGTTCGAAGAGCAAACTTTGCTAACTCATGTGCCACTTTGTTACCATCACGCCGCTGCCACACAACAAAAACCAGGGAAGCATCATCAATCAGGCATCCTGTGCCACCTAAACATGCAAGCCTTAGTTGAATTTATAACCTCCACTGCCCCTCTTGCATGTAGTTCAAGCACAATATATAGTTCGAAAGCCCATGTCTAGTGCATCTTGCTGCCATTTATTTTCTAGCATATCTAACTTGAATTTTGTGAATCTGTGTGTTATTTTTACAGTTCAACTTTTGGTGTATTAGATAGTGACCTCTTGTCTTTCTTGTCTTTCGTTGTCCAAATTATATGATGTAGGCAGATGTGAAGACAGCTTTACCAAAGAGTATTGTGAAAAACCAAAACCAAGAGGACCAACATGCTCAATCCGAACCATCTTATAACGCCAGAAGGATTTTTGTTGGAGGTTTACCACACAATCTAACGCAAGGGGAATTCAAGAACTACTTTGAGAAGTTCGACACAGTTACGGATGCAGTTATAGTATGTTGCAAGGAAAGTGGCAAGTCCAGGGGCTTTGGCTTCATCACTTTTGAATCAGAGGACGCCGCGGATGATGCCTTGCAGAACAAATATCATGAATTGAATGATAAATTCGTGGAGGTAAAGAGGGCTGTGCCGATGGGTACGAATGAGAATCCGGTCACAACATATGACCGTAACCGAGTAGAATTCGATTATGGAACAAGGCCTCATCGGTTTGGAAATTTTGGAAATTTGTTCTATAGTGGTGCTTACTGCATTAGTTGTTTGAGTCCTTATGAGGTTGGACACCAAGAAGGCTGCCAGCCACTTGGTTATCTTTTCCCTTATATATGTCCGTATGACCATCAAGTCTAATTCTTAGGGTCCGATGGGTTAATTACTTGTAGTTTCAGACCTATTCGGATTTTGATCAATGAATTTGAGATATGGTATTTGTTTACGAAGGCCTCATCGGACATGACATATGAAACTGTTATTCGCACTTCAACTAGGTACGCTAAAGAATCTTTGAAGTGTTGTGACATATGTTCTTATCAATATGTAATTGTGTAAATCCTAAGTAGAGATAAAATAGGAATGCTTGGGGATCTAGAAGATCTTTCCTAATATACTTTGTATTACTTGTAGAGCAAGTTTCTCTCATCCTTATTACTATAAATAAAGGCACAAGGACTGAAGAATTAACACACAATTCCTCAAGTCTATTCGCCAATCTCTCTCTCTTCCCTTTGCCGCGTCTCTCTACTAAATATAGGCCACAACACGTTATCAGCACACTCTTCATGCTGTGCTAAGAAGAATTTAAAGAGAATTTATTCATCTTCAATCAGGGAGTATTACGTTTCAATTATTTTTAATTGATTAAATTTTGGGTTTCTTGAATTCATATACTTTTATTGATTAAATTTTTTTGTTTTTATGTTGAACATGATACAAGCTTTGAAGATGGAAAGCCAAAATTGAAGAAATAATTTTCTGCATCAAACCAGTTCATCAATATGATCACGCAATCATGTTCTTTCAAAACAACAATTTTTATCTCGATATTTTTACAGTCTGATAATATGAACATTCACCATAATGCATGATCCAACTTTACGTTTTTCAAATTTTAGATTCTACATAAATTGTATATGCATTATAATCATAATCCCATTGAATTATGTGAATTGATATTGCTATGAATTGTAGTAAATATGCATGAATTTACTAGAATGAAAAAAATATATGCTAGGGTTTTGGTGGAAATTCACCGAGCCGCGGCACCAAGCCGCTGAGCTCCCCTATGCCGAGCCGTGAGCCGTGAGTCAAGAGGGCCTGCAGCCCTGCGTTGAACCCAGAAACGCGACGCCGCATGGCGTTGTCCCTGTCCTTCGATTCGGACCCGTGAACCACCGCCTCGGCCACCAATTTGGTGTAGCCCAGACAAACTCCGATGACCTGCAGTCATCGTCGATGGAGTTTGTGGCCGAGATTTCTTTGAAATCTCACCTAAGTTTGAGATTTCGATTTCAATCCCGCGGAGTTCTCCGTTTGGGATGTTGAGGCTATCCCTCCGCCACCAAACGATGGTTCTTAGGTGAACCACCGTCTCTAGCACCACTCCCTGACCAAGAACACGGCCACTTGAAGTGGCAGCGCCCGTCCCCAATTCGGGTGAACACACCCAGCGTTGCTGGGATGTTTCTTGGTCCAGACCCGAGCCTACTGGGCTTGTTCTCCTTCGGCCTGCAACAACAACCATCTGGGCTTCTCCCAAGGTCTGCCTGCAGGAGCCCAGCCAACGATTTTTTTTAGCCCGTGACTCCACATAGCCCAACCCTGGGCCTCTGTCCCACTAGGCTTCCATTATGCAGCCCACGCACGTGTAAAACAGGGCCTGCAGCCCTTACCACCTCTCGGCCCGCATCTGTCCCAACCCAATATTAGCTCGGCCCTATTTTGGTTTTTGTTTTTGTTTTATTTTTATTTTTATTTTTTTTAATGGTTTATGAGGGCTTTGGTCCAATACCTTGGGACACCTATTATATTGCCTATTTTTAGGCTTTATGAGTTTTTGTTATAAATAGACAAAAGTTAGAGAAATAACCTTTGCTAAGAGCGAGGGCGAAGCAGGTGCAAATATTACACTGTTTAGTTTTTTTAATACTACCATAAAATTATTGCAAATGTGAAAATAAGAGATACTGAAAGTAGTATATTTCTTTCCTTTCTCTTTTGGTGTTCGTCAACTTTGAACAATCGAAGTGCTCTATTTATAGAGCCACTTCAAAATAAACTTACAAAAGGGTTACTATTTAGCATATGAGTCTTTACTATACATATGTGGGCAAAAATACCCACTATTTACAACACTCCCCTTGGATGCCCACATATCAACACAGTTGCCTCGTTAAAACCTTGGTTGGAAAAACCCAGTGGGAAAAAACCACAGCGAAGGAAAAAGAGTACAACTTTACCTGGATTGTTGATATGATGTTTAGCATGCTTACGTTGCCTAGTTAAAACCTTGATAGGAAAAAACCCAGTGGGAAAAAATCCTAATCAAAGGAAAAAGAGTACAACATGCATGTGTCATGGATGCTCCCCCTGAGTTGTATCTCCCCATGATTCCGCATTCTTCAAATTGATCAGTTGACGTAATCCGATTCCCTGCACTAACTTCTGAAATGTGCACTTTGGTAAAGACTTGGTGAATAAGTCTACCAAATTTTTATTGAAACGGATTTGTCTGACTTCAATAACTTTAGCTTTCTGAAACTTATGTGCATTGAAAAATCTTGGAGATATATATTTAGTCTTATCACCCTTGATGATCATTCCTTCATTTGGGCAATACAGGCTGCATTATCTTCATGGATGACAGTTGGAGTGTCTGTTTTTGAATGTAGACCACATGAATTACGGATGTGATGGATCATTGATCTTAACTAAGAACATTCACGACTTGCTTCATTCAAAGCAATTATTTTCGAGTGATTGGAAGATGTTCCAACTAATGTTTGCTTTGTTAAGCGCCATGAAATTGTAGTCTCTCCATTATTGAACACATATCCAGTTTGTGAGCGGGCTTTGTGCGGATCAGAGAGGAAACCAGCGTTTGCATGTCCAACAAGGATCTGGTCATTTGTGGACTTGTCTGAGTAGAAGAGACCCATGTTTGTTGTCTCACGAAGGTATCGTAGAACATCTTTGACTCCCTTCCAATGACGAATTGTTGGAGCAGAGCTATATCTTGCTAACAAGTTGACTGAAAAAACTATATATGGTCTAGTACATTGTGCTAAATACAATAAAGCACCTATTGCACTCAAATATGGTACTTCTCGACCAAGGACCAGTGCATCATCTTCTTTTGGATGGAATGAAGCTTTCTTAATGTCAAAGAACGAACGATCATTGGGGTGCTAAGTGGATAAACCTTGTCCATGCCAAATCGTTTCAACATTTTTTCAATGTAAGCTGATTGATGGACCAAAATTCCATTAACACAATGCTCGATCTGCAGGCCGAGACAATATTTTGTTTTCCCAAGGTCTTTCATTTCAAATTCGCTTTTAAGATATTCAGCAGTTTTATTGAGCTCTTCAGGGGTTCCAACTAGATTCATATCATCGACATATACTGTCACTATAGCAAATCCAATATTTGATTTCTTAATGAATACACAAGGGCAGATGACATTGTTGGCATATCCTTCTTTAATCAAATACTCACTCAGATGATTGTACCACATTTGTCCAGATTGTTTCAGCCTATATAATGATCGCCTTAATTTAATTGAGAACATTCCTTGTGGTTTGTTCGTTGCTTCAGGCAACTTACGTCCTTTTGGGACTTTCACATATATATATATATATATATATATGTCAATATCTAATTCTCCATATAGATACGCGGTGATGACATCAATAAGTCGCATGTCAAGTTTTTCTGAAACCACCAAACTTATTAAGTAACGGAACGTAATTGCGTCCATTACAGGAGAGTATATCTCTTCATAATCAATTCCAAGTCTTCGTGAAAAACCTTGTGCAACGAGTCTTGCTTTGTATCTTGCAATCTCATTTTTCTCGTTGTGTTTCCTTGCGAATACCCATTTGTAACCCACGGGGTTTACACCAGGTGGGGTTTGGACTACTGGTCCAAAAACACTTCGCCTTTCCAAGGAATTTAATTCTGCCTAGATTGCATCTTTCCACTTAGCCAATCATGTCTCTGTTTACATTCATCAGCAGAACGGGGCTTAATGTCATCGCTTAATATAATTTCAGTGGCTATTGCAAATACAAACATGTCGTCGATGATTATTTCATTTCGATCCCACAATTCATTAGTACATGCATAATTTATGGATATTTCTTTGCTTTCATGTACTTCTGTCTCTTCAGGGACACGTGTCTCATCAAGGACATTTTCTTTTTCTGGAAGTACAAAATCATGAATTGTGGATTTATCATTCATTTTCTTTTCCTGAATGATTTCACTTGGGTTTAACTGTGCCCTCATCTTTCTCTTTCGAGGGGCTAAATCTTTTGAACCTGGGGGTCTACCACGCTTCAGGCATGCACTAGATGAATCATTCGCTGCCACTTTATTTTGTCCAACAGGGACATCAATTTTTGCAGGTGTATTTGCAGCTGGTATATGTGACTTTGTCATTTTCAAAGCATCATTAAATGCATCTGGCACTTGGTTAGCAATACTTTGAAGGTGAATGATCCTTTTCACTTCATTTTCACATTGCATGCTTCGAGGATCAAAATGAGACAAGGTGGGAACAACCCATGTTAACTCTTGCCGTTCTTCTGGAATGGTTTTTTCTTCCCCTAACGACGGGAAAACTGTTTCATCAAAGTGACAATCAACAAAATGACCTGTAAACATATCACTTGTCAAGGGTTCTAAATATTTAATGATTGATGGTGAATCAAAACCCACATAAATTCCCAGTCTGCATTGAAGTCCCATTTTAGCGCGTTGTGGCAGTGCAACAGGCATATAAACAACACAACCAAAAACTTATAAATGTGAAATGTTTGGTTGATGCCCAAACACGAGTTGCATTGATGAATATTCGTGGTTGGCTATGAGTCTCAATCTAACCAATGATGCAGCATGTAATATGGCATGTCCCTATGTAGATACTGGCAATTTTGTTTTCCTGAGCAGAGTGCGGGCTATTAATTGAAGTCGCTTGATAAATGCCTCTGCTAAACCATTTTGAGTATGGACATGAGGAACATGATGTTCAACATCAATGCACAGTGCCATACAATAATCATCAAAGGTTTGAGACGTAAATTCACCAGTGTTATCAAGTCGGATTAACTTAATGGGATGATCTGGGAACTGTGCTCGCAACTTAATTATCTGAGCAAGAAGTCTCGCAAAAGCTACATTTCGAGTAGACAACAGGCAAACATGTGATCATCGGGTAGATGCATCAACCAAAACCATAAAATATCAAAATGGTCCATAGGGTGGTTGAATAAGCCCCTTGGATCATTTGCAAAAATGATGGGGATTCAGCATCAACCTTTAGTTGTGATGGTCTAATTACCAACTTCTCTTGGAAACAAGCCTTGCAAGGGTTATCATTTGAGACAACAATGTGTCTGTTCAATAATGGATGTCCATTAGAGTTGGTAATGATCCTACACATTATGGTGGATCATAGATGACTCA